AAGTTATGATTTGGCTACCTGCCGTAGGTCGTCAGCCGCTAATCATTATACTACACGAACACACGAGCGCATTTTCTATCCATGCCTACATTTTTCTGTGGCAATATCCATTAGAGTTGGAGTAGCGTATACCACCTAGAGGGTATAAAGGTTTTGTTTGGCACGAGACTGGATTGACATGGAAAAAAAGCGGCAGCATTTAACCAGCTTGGCTACCATTTCAAACACGTCGTATCTGAATCCTCCATTGGTCGCAAGAAGCCCGCCACATTTGGATCCCGTGTTTTCACGACTACCAACCAAATGGTAGAGCAGTCTTGACGGCGTTTGCTTCGGGGGCGCGGAGTGCACCGCTAGCTATATGTTCAAGCCCCGGACCCGGATTTGTAGGAATGAAACTTTACATGCACAGGGGTAGGCATCATATGATCAATAATAGATAGACGGCTACATGCATGTCTCTCATATGCCGCGTACTGGTGTCAAGGCAGTCAGTCATTTCACATTTCATCAACCATCTATATCAACCATCTATCAGGCAGACAATTACATTACGGAGCATTCAATGCTTGTCTCACCTTTAACTAGACTTACATGGTTATCCCTTACGTAAGTAATTATCTCACACTCGTCTCCATGCCTTAGCAAAATCTTATGTCAGGCGATGTGGCTGAATCAATATCAACTCTGCGGGGTGTGAGGATAAAGACACGCCCGGTGAGCGTGATAAGGCTGAAGGTCCAGGAGTTCATCAAAGAGACCTAGTCATATGGCAGTGCAAACACTCTATATAATTGCTTATTAAACCTACCCTAGAGCTTTGACTTCGGATTATTAAGAGGTTGCGCAGATACCTGAGAGCCAAATTTCATCACCACCACCACCACCACCACAACGAGGACACTGGATGGCATTAGGTTTAAGATATTAGCCTTTATTTTCGGCTTGTACTGGGAATCGAGGAAAATCCAAAAGTAGCAAATAGTGAATAGTAAGAGCGCATGCTCAAACGTGTAGTCAATTAGTATGAGGACAAATTACTCAGTCTTGGAGAGTAGTGTATCATGGGATTAAAACGTATACTCTTAGAACTACCTAGAGGAGGTGAAAGTAGTATATTTACTGGTTGTTCCGGGCATGTCCTGCGGTATTGGCCATATATTCGTGTAGGTCTATAGTAAGAAGACTGTCATCTGTATTCAACCCTCTCGACCATCCTCTCATTATCATCTTGCCCTGTGTAGACATCCTACAACAAAGCCAGAGGTGGAATTGTTCAAACGAACTTCCTTGGGTAGAGAATAAGTGAGGGTTTATATAAGTTCCGACATTCCCCCTTCACAGTGTTTTCTTCACTAGACTCCCTGGCAACTTCAATACGATCACTTTCCTAGACGTATTATTTATCCCATCACATCCCTAGTTGCTTTTCAGTCACCAGAGTGCTCTAGTCCAGTTCCAAATATGCTCAAAATATTAGTGAACCTGAATGATCCAGTCCAGGTCTAAGCCCCAGATAGCACCAAATTACCACTACTAAGTCTTCGTCTAGAAGAAAAAGCCACGCTATTCAGGTATCAGGACATCAAGGATACGCTAGCCCTCGGGTTTTACTCGTATCGTCCACATCCCGGATAACAGAAGAGAGATCAATTCATTGCCTCTAAGTCCCGGTCCGATGTTAGCCGAAAAAGCAGCATCTTCTCGCGATAGTGCCATGCTGGGTGGCGGTCTGAGAAGGCTGTTAATGGTGGACCCGTTGTTTTGCTTGCAACGTTTCGACACGGTCTCTATTACCGCTGGATGCGCTGGGGCGAGTCGCCATACCTCGTAGATCTATTCCCCTCGTCATGGTTGCAGCAGCGGAGAAAAGAGAAGAAAGCGTCGGGCTGCTGATATGAGAGTGGATAAACGCCCGGCAGATGGGAAGGCGCAACAGAACTTGTATATTAGACAGTAGAAGGCACGGTAGACCTGGCCCCTTCTTTCCCTTCATCTTCCTGCCATTCAATTGCTTAACCTTTTCCCCCACTCTCCAATTGCTCTGCGCTACAATACCATTTCCATTAGATTCCGTCTACCTCCTCCTCCTACATCTACCTATATCTACACCCCTTGCATTGCTTATTGAGCAGCTCTGCAACAATAAGAGGCTCATACATGACCTAGTTAAACGCGTCACCAATTACCACGAGGCCTATCATGCCATAGGCATAAAAGAAAGGTTAAAGAATTTCTGTGCCCTTTGCACACCTGTACCTTAGAGCGCGTCTGTTGAGTCTTTTCGTAGTTCTATTTTACATCTTTATTACGCCAAACTACAATTTAACTACCGCCACTACGATTTCAAAAGCACGAATACTGTTGACAGTTACTGCTGCGGTTAGTTCTACTACGTTGCCTCCGTCTCTCCTTCCTCTTCGGCCGTACATTTGGTAGTAAGGTACTTAGGCTTGCTTGCTTTACCTCCCGGCCTCACGGTTACCTACGTATATAAAATCCTCTTTCTCTGTCGTCCTTCTTGCCATCCGTTACTTTCACCAACAGTAATTGCGACCGCAAACTCTTTTCTGCTCTTTAGAAAAGACCGACGAAATAGGCTTCGCCTACCTGCCTACCTACTAGCCAGCCTATACTCCAATATCTCATACGCTGACTACCTCGTCCTGCCGTCCGTGGTACACGATCGATTACCTACTATGTCTTCCGGAATGGTCGTCTATAATGCCAGAGCGGCAGCTCATAAACTTTGCGTTGGTAGGGTAAATAAGAACTGGGGGTTTTTCTCTTTTTTCTTTCTTCTTCACCTGGGCTAAAAATTATATGATTTACTTTTATCCCTCTAGTCTAGTTATAGTTACAGCAACACTCTTTCTATAGCCTGGGCAACATAATAACATATTGAGGCATATATTTAGAGTATTCAGCTAATGAGAGCCTCATAATACTTATGTGGATGAGGCAGAACAAGAAGAGTCCGCCGCCGCTGCCGCTCGTGGCTACTGCTACGCCTAAGGCCTAGAAGGTGAGAGTCAAATAGTTGGCTAATCCTCCTCCTAAGCGTGCAATCTTGACCGAGGAAGATGGTACTTAGTGTATCTCATTTCCTAATTCGTAATCTTTATTCAGCCTCCTTTCCCTACGCGCAATATTATCTATTTAGGTAGGTTAGGCACTTAGGTGTCGGACAGTACTCTACCACCTACTCCATCCATTTCCGTTTCTCATACCAAAAGCTCTTTCCTCTGGACTTCATCGCGCCTTGACCCCGCGCAACTTCACCCACCTAGCCGTCGCCGACCTCCCTCTCACCCGCCACCTTTACTTCTTTCTCTAATCCTATGCTTCCAATACATCATCATCAACACCTGTTTCCTACACTATACGAAAGTACTACTATCCTAGTCGGCGTCCGGGTTCGTAGGCAGCAAGCTGTACTTTGAGGGTAATCTACTATCAGCGCTAACCTTCCTAGACTCGTAACAACTTAGGCATCAACGTTCAACACACCTAGGTATGTTCAGGCTTTCATATCTAACAATATCGCCTACTATGTACTTGAATGTCGGTTGCCCTGGCTTTATTTTGGGCATGAGTCATGATCTCAATGATGCAACACTTCCTACGGCAGTGTTTAGTAGTAGCATGACCGAATATGGAACAGCAAATAGCAACATAGGGTAAAGGGATATCTTATCTCAACTCTATTGACAGCGTTTACATAAACAATAACGGTTGAATTCTCTGATATATAGAGTAGGATAGATGGCTAGTAGCTTGCGGATTGGATAAAGGGTGTTATGAGAGATAGAATGAGAGGAGTGCATTATTTGGAAAGTGATTGTTGCGATGCGGCCCATTAGTCACCATCAGAATAGAGGGGGGTCGAGAGGGTTATAAGTCTGGATATGTGCGCAGCTTTTCAACAGACGTTCCACTGGCACACGCCACCATCCAAAGGCTGATGGCGCAGTGGTTAGAGTCGGCAGGACAAACGCTTGTGCCAGAGGCAGGGCCATAGGCATTCAAGGGTTTTCCGGTTCAGTTTGGGATTCTGGTACGTCCTTAGCCCCTGGATTCTTTTTTGTGATTTTGAGGTTGGCAGTTCGAGCAAAGCCTTTTTTCTTTCTTTCTTTCTTTCTTTCTTTTCTTTTTTCTCTAGCTGCAACAAGAACTCCAGTTCAGAGACGCCTATCAGCCCGAAGACATACGTCGAGCATAAATGTTTATTCAATCCTACACTGGCGAGTCCTAAAATTATAACCGGAAATACCAAGATTTTCGTTCTCCCTTTATACTTGTACTCCCACGTATCATGATGCAAGCCATTATGGCTGCCATAAGGAACCCAAAATATTATATAATAGCTATGGTTCGTTCCATGCCACATTAAGACCTCGAGCATGGTCGTGACATTGCTCTCTATTAAACGAACCCCATAGTTTATATATTATCAAATGAAGTCCATAGAACACCTAAGATTCTCATGCGACAACTGCGATCACAGCATACTCACCTTGGCTTCTGCAGTAAGATTCTAATGAGCGTAAGCGAAGAACTTACCTAGACTCTGTTTATTTTTTTTATTAAGGACGCCTACTCAAAGTAGTATAGATTTAATGCACAGGTCCTCTTTGGAAATGTAATTCTCGAATAACATTCTAAACATTACATTCCTCTTATATCACTTGTACTTATTCCTCCCTCGGTGGCCCTTTGCTACCTTGCTTCGGCGCTTGATCCTTAAGCTTTGTGTGCTGAATATTAAGATATACCTTGTCAACGGTGTTTCCAGGGGAAAAGCTTCTACTTAAATCGATACTATAAGCAAACAATCAAATGAGGAAAAAAAGAAAAAAACTCAGCAGAGAAGTGAAAAACAAAAATATCCAAACCGCTTATTGGATTATATAGTAAGTTGTGCCATGCAAATAGATGCCTTAATACTTGAGTAGTTTTTGCCCGCAATACCTCTCAACATCCAAGCAACGACCAGTAATGCCCGCTTGGCTAAGTGGTATAGCGTGTCACTAGTAATCCTAGATGTCATGACAAGATCAGCGGTTCGATTCCGCTAGTGGGCATCCTATATTTTGTTTTATCAACCACCAATTGGTGTAGCATTTGGCGCTTTCGTCCATTTTTTTTTTCTTATAAAACCGTGATGATATTGTCAAGCCCGGAGATCGCCTCCCCGATTCGGAGTTAACTCTTAGAGAAATGGATATAAATAAAAATAATATCTTGATAATTTAATGTTTGTGCTTGATTTTCTTTCCCCTTTTTCCGTACTATTCGCACGCTCTAGCTTACTTACATAAAATAATACTGTTAATGGGTTTCCAATAAGTCATAAATAAATAAAGGCTTCACTTATCAATTCGGGAAAGCCATATACGATACTCTCTATTGATAAAGTATATGCTGCTAATTTATGAACCCATTCCAGGGTACAGAGTCGATCCGATAGACCCCTTGAAATGGATTTCCCATGTCACAGTTGCCTTTCCTCGCAACCGTCCTCCATTGACTAAAGCCATCTATCAATCTACAACATCAATTACTACTAGGCTCTGCATCATGGACAACATCAGTATTGATGACGATGTCATCCCTATCCCTGAAATGTAAGATGATGGTGACCTCCAGCAGATCGAGATCGTCTTCCCGCTGCGCATACCCATGGCCGAGGATATCCGAGCTTCTGAGCGAAGCGCGCGTCGACAACTCAGCCTTGAGATGACGGATCTCCGCCGTCAAGTCCAAATATCGCTCTTTCCAGGAACATTCGTGGTTCGGAGGAGCGATGGGCGTGGGCTTGGCGATTTCTGGTTCGGATGCCTGCTCGTTGAAAGATTTTGCTTCGCTGTGTATGAGTTCTTCGTGTCCAGACTCGTGATGTGTAGATGTGAAGGTGTTGCGCTGACGAGGACTCGCATGTAGGGACATAGTGGTGGCATGTTGGTCCTCATGACTGTACTGAGTGTCCGAGCGCAGGTGCTTATGCTCAGTCTCCTATCTTTCTATAAGCGACTGTGACAGCCCACTCTGAGTTGTAGAGGTTGCCCTGTGCTGCTGACCTTGCTGAGAGTGCGCTTTTCCGCTGACACCTTTATCATGTCGAGAACTCGCTACATTCGCCGTGGCGGCCGTGTCTGGATGCCCTTGCACATTTTCAAATATTTCCCGTCGCTTCGACACGGAAACCGGAGTGTCCTGATGTTCACGTTCAGGGGGGTCAATTCGTATTGTAGGTGTCATATGGGGTGTTCGAGGTCCCTTTGGCACCGAGGGTATTGGAGTATGGACTCTTGTCGAGAACATATGGTGTTCTTTCTGAGATTTCGCTTCATGGTCGGTTCGAGAACGGATGTGATGCTCATGACGAGGGTCAAGCTGGCCCCGCGCATCTTGATGTTGCTTTATGTGCGGGATATTGAGCGGAGCAGGGGCAAGTGCCTGGTCTAGCTTCTGGTTAGAGCCGCCATAAAGTTCCAAAGAATTTGACTCTTTTCGTATACCAGGTTTGTGAATAGGGCTTGTCGAGCCACTTGTCGCCTGACCTCTTCAGCCATCGACAGCGACGCTCGAAAGATAGCCATGGTCGTGCTCATGCGTTCCGTGGTTCTTCGTACTGATATGATGTAGTGGTACAGTAGCATCGGCTGCTTTCTTGGTCGGGTTTCTTAGCCATGATGGTGTGCTGGCTAGTCGAAGTTTTGGGGGTGCATTATTACGCAAAGATATGTTCGACTCATTGTGAGCTTTCCTTTGCTCACCATGAATAGTAGATTCCCCTGACATGGTGTCTCTTACTTCGTGTGCAGTTGTGTCATTTGCATTTCTAGGTAACTGACGGTCTGATGTGTTTGCGGTAGCTTTTGTTGCCGGGGAATGTTGTCTCCTCTTACCCGAGCGGGTTGGATGGCCAAGGGGAATAGGGTCTGGGGCCCACTGAAACGAATCAACTTCTGTAACTGACTTCACTTTCGTGAGAGGTTCGAGATATAGGCCCGGCTTGATGTTTGTCTTAGAGGAGGCGGGCTGGACTTTTCTTTTATTGCGCTGCTTGAGAAGATCATAGGCGCTGTGACCGACTGCCGAGGACAGATGCTCCGCAATGTGATTAGAACTGTGGAAGCCGGCAGAGTGATGGCGATGAACAGTATTGGGTTCCTCTGGTAGGATGTTATCCAAGGCAGGGTTCTCAAATGGCTCAGCCGGGGACGGTCTGCCTGGAGCACTGTCTCCGTTTAAGACTGGACTCTTCTGCTTGTTCTGATGTTTGGAACAGGAAATACTATGTCGAAAAGGATAGTGCCCGGCGTGGGTTGCTCTGCACATGGGATCGTCACACTCCATTCGGTGCGCAGAATGTAAAGAAATACCTTTCTCCGTCTCTTGTTCCTGGCTCTTTCTATCTCTAAGGAGAAACGGGTTCGTCTCGATAAACTGTCTTCGTCGACTTTGCACCTGTTCATGTTGATCTTCCCTCATGTATGGGCTATCTCTCATGATTGCCGTGTATTTCTTAGGAAGTGTTGTTTGTATTCCAAGCCCGTCATCCCTACTTCGCCAGCTCGAGTCAGCGCGGTAGCGAGATGGTCGATTATGCCGCGTGTCTCTTTGGTCTTGAGCTTGGCTACAACTAATTCCTTGCTGCCGGCCAAAATTTTGTGTGGAATCCAGATTCGACCTAGAAGCAGTTACGTACTGTGACTCGTCTCTCATGGTAGTATGACTTTGATGCTCTGAAAAGTCGGCATGAGCGTGTGGAGTGTCGCTGGATACTTCACACGAACACCTTTCGCAAAGGCGGTGTCCACAGGAGGAGCAGTGTGTTGGAGTCCAGGTAGGAGCCGAGCAGATATGACAGTGTCTGCAATGTCTTCGGGGGGTGGCATTTCCATCCCCTGATAGAGACAGGTCCTCTAAATCTGAAAGCCAGCCAGAGGGCCGGCTAATATGGTACTGCTTGAACATGTCTCGAGCTGACCTCCATTTCTCCTTCTTTGGGGTATTACGCAAGACAGGTGAAACTAATGGTGAAGGTTGCGGTTTTTTAGTGGCAAATAAAGGGTTTGCGAAAGACTGTGTCCCATAGGTGATAGTCGGCAAGGGCAGATGGGTTGGGCTAGGACTCGTTTCCTTGATAATGTCTGAAATATGTCGCCCACTAGACGGGTGCATTTCTGTAAGACCAAATTTGTTGCATACATGACCCAGGGAGAAACTTTTCCGACAAGAAGGCTGCAACAATAATGGCGTCCGAGTTCCGAATGCGCGACCATCCTGCTCCTCTTGTGTATGCCGACCACAGCTGTGAATAATAAACGAGTGCGTGGTTGGGGGCATACGAAAGTCAGGACCATCGAGAAACTGCATTGAAGGTTTTACAAATTGGGAGTGTGGCTGACGTCCCTAATCGACAGATGTGTATCCATGCTGGCCTTCAGCAGAGTTAGGCTCTTCGAACGAGTTGTCGCTAGAAAATGCGTAGAACCGACGCATTTTTGATCTAACGGTTTTAACGGGGAGTGCATCTTGGAGAATAGGATACTCGCCTCGGTTAGACCTATTCAAGATGTTAGGAGCGTGCCCTGGTGGGCGAGAAGACATGACGAACAACGTCTTGAAGGGGGCTAGTAAATTAAGATATAGCGCATGGTCGTCCAACTAAACATTGGACATAAGATATGTATCTGCAGCATTAAGAACCTAGGTTGGTTACTGGGTCAGTTAATGATATCTGAGATTAGAGAACCGACGGTTCAAGTAGTTCGGCCGAACGACTATTTGTGAGAAGGGCCAGTAACGACTTTTGAATAACGTAACTGGGCAACTGCGGAAGCCATAGCAAGTAGGCGCATTCACGATAAATGGAAACCGCATGTATGAGCGCCAAGATACTCAAGAACCTTCTTTATTCGCTCACGGGAATTGTAGGGAATTATGCTGATGTACAAGTTGATGCGTGATAACTAGTTCTATACAATCTATTTTAGAGCAGCCTGCAAGCTCTCGAGGACCTGATGTCATTAGTCAAGCGAACGCTAGAAACGCTGAGTATGCGCCTTACCTCCAGTTCGATCTTAGCTTCCGCAATATCCTGTTCACTACCACTGCCGTTGGCGACCTTTTGCGCCTCGGCAATCTGAGATCGGACAGCTTCAGCGCTGAAATCCTCCAGGGGGTAGCCCTCGGGGGCGTTGATGCTTAGGACAGAGTTTGGCTGAACGGTGGCGAAGCCGCCGGAAACTGGTGCTGTATATTAGCAAGCTGTATATAGCCGCACCCGTGTTCCATATACGTACGGAAAAACTGCTTGTTGGTGCCATTTTCCTCGATGACCTCAATGAGACCGGGCTTCAGCTGCTCGATCGAAGGCACGTGGTTCGCAAGGACACCCATTTCTCCAGACTCGGCGGGGATGTTGACCTGGACGACATCGTGTGAAGAGTAGATAGACTGATGCGGGAATTAGCAGGGGCGGTCGGCAACGAGGTCGCAGCCACGAAGACCCATCAACGGGGGTTGCATCATGCGGGATGGTAGAGGCCCGGTCGCATATCCGGAGGGCAATCGTACCTGGTGAGGGAGAGACAAGCTTAGCTTGATCTACATGATGTTAGTAGAGCAACAATCGAGGCACGGAGGGATACGGGCCTTGTCGGAGGCGGCGTCGGCGTAGGCCCTTCGCTGCAGGGGCTGGATGGGGAGCCGCATAGCAGCGGGGCGAGCTCGCAGAGCTGCACGGGCGACGCGGAAGGCGTTCATGATGACAGGCGTGGTCAATTGAGGGTGGGCGTGACGAGCAAAGCTCACGATAATCAGTGGCAGCAAATTGGGATTCAATGCTGAAGAGACGGAATCTCGGGACTTCTCGGCCTAGCCCGATTCGGCAATACGGCAAGTCACGTGAAAAGTCACGTGGTACAGACTGTCCTTTGCTATGAGCTCTGGATCACGTGCACCTTGGCTGTCAGGTGTACCTAGGTATCTCTGAGTCTAGAAGATGACGTAAAGTTCTTCTTCGTGCGGAGGGAGCATCGATGCGACTTTCGGCTCTTGATGATAGTCCGTA